TCATCCTTCCCGGGGGGGGGGAGCGTTGTAGGTCACGTGCATCGCGAGGATCTCACTGCCTCGAGCCTGCAGCTTAATTGGGGTAGAAGAGGGGATCAGCTCCCGGTCTGCATTCCAGAAAGAACCTCCGGATAGCAGCGCATCAAAGATTTCTGCAAGTAAATAATTAATTGGCTCAGAGCAGGCTGACAACTGTAATTAAGCTGTTTACAGTGGGAACATTCGGAATCTCTCTAATTAGTGACCGGAGTACCTGAGGCTGTGGTCGGACAAGGTGCTTCCCAATGAGTCAGGATGAAAGGAAGCCCGGGGTTTTTCATCATATGTTCCTTTATCACCAGTAATCACAACTTTAAGGTAAAATAGACCCTTACAGAGCAGATTTCAGTTCATCCGGTTGTGGGATACGTGCTATAAATTGTGTCGTACGTTGAAGGGGACCCGTCCGTGCTCCACTGTGTCGTTGCCTTAGTAATACTGTTTATGCCTCTCCTGTGATGTCAGCGGACATATCTGGTGATAGAGACTCAGATGGAGGAGATGGGGACCAGACTCAGAATTATATAAACTAGGGGTTATTTTGGCCTGCCCGGCAGCCTCCCTTTTGATGAACCCAAGAGCCGCTGATGCGGAGACTTAGTTCCACGCGCCAAGGAAGATGCTAGTCCTTCGTGCTCACGCCCGGTTCACGCAAGGGGAGGGCATTTTACACCGAACTTGGGAATTTGGGGGCGAGGTCTGAGAATTCTGCTTACCACAAACTTTGATAATCAGCTAAAATACCAAGTGTTTTGGAGATAATTATGGTCTTCAAATATTATAGCTTATAAATCCTGGTCACCTCGGGGCGTGGTTTTTGCATTTGCAGCCACATTTTTATTTGTACTTTTCCAAACTCAGAGGCTGTGCTGGAGACAGTCACCCCGAAATGTCTCCCGCTCTCTTGACCTGCGGCTCCTCAAAGCAGGGGCGTCCTCCCGACAGCGCCCTCTGCCGGCGGTGCCGATTCAGTTTACCCGGTGCCTCCGCTTTAATTCAGCCGGGGCTCCCCAGCGGACAGCCCCCAGGACACACCGGCTTTTCCCGTCATCAGCGCTGGTTTTCTCAAAAGAAATGCGCTTACATGCAAGAAATGGTCAGAAGACAGCCCGTGTTTAAACACACGCAAAAAGCACCGGGAGAGATCAGTGGCGTAATGAAACTGCCTGTGATTTATTTTACGATCAAATCAGCTTTATAAAATTAATCTTCAGAACCCTGCTACTCGTTCGATGCTCACATTTTACGTGGCCGCTCTGTCGGGGCCGCACTGTAGCGGCGCCAGGTTATTGTCACCTGAGATTCGCTGTTCAGCGAGAAAACCCCCAAGAACATAGGAACACGAAAAATCAGACCGTCGTGGTCTGGGAGCAGCTTCCCCAGTGTGACCTCGAGGGCAGGTCCTTCCTTCTGCCTCTTCCTGTGTACACGACTCATTTTTAATATAGTGGGACTTTCTTAAGTGAATTGCCATGTTGATTGTAGTTGTGGTGATTATAGAATCCATGTTAGAGCGTAACATTTTCTTTCATGGTCTGATACTGACGTGATACACTGTGTTTCTGAGTGAAGAGAGGCCTGGTCCCCTTGCCCCTCGACACCAGCCGGTCTCTGCTGATCCCTCAGCAGGAGGGCGGGTGGACGGGCGGATGTGGGCGCATTTCAAGCCTGAGAGAAAATCCTGTGCACAGGAGTGATTTTGCAGCCTCACCCTGAGAGTGAAAACTGATGTTGACAGCAGTCCACCATTAAAAATACTCAATATTGAAACCTGATATGGGAGGCTTTGTTTCAACATTTTAGTAATACCCTGATTTGCTTTTTAACCACCTGGTCATCTAATTGTTACTCGTTTTTTGCGGCTGATGTAACAGCCGTTGAAATTGCTGATAAGTTCATTGCCACAGTGTGTTACACGAAGGATGAATCTGAAGTTACCAGCTTTCCTCTAAGACCTGGCCTCTGAGACAGTCGGTGTAACCTCTTGCTGACAGTGAAGTGGGGGCGTCAGCAGATTCTCTGTGCTGCTTTTCACCCCAGCCTGCCCACAGCTGGTCACGGGTAAAAATCGACAGAGATGCCATTTTAGAATTACCTGAAGCACAGTTCTCTGTATTCAATAACAAAAAATCAAATCAGCTAAACTTCCCAAAATGCCAAGTTCCCAGGTAAAATGCACGGAAGTACACATGTAAATGTTGATGTCTGTTACTAACTTTGTATTTTAAAAGGTTATCAGAAAGTTTTGTGAAACTTATTTAAATATAGTACTTTATGTTGGTCTTTTATAAATATTGTTACATACCAAACCAATTGCATTTTTGTTTTTGAAAAAATAATTTTTATGTAATGAATCTTTATGAATCTTACATGGCCGAGAACTGTGTTCTTGAATGAGTGTGTTGCTAGTGTCTTCTCCCAGCCAGTCTCAGGTGGAAGAGTGGACTTGAGCCTGAACCTGGCTCACGGTTCATTTAACGCGTGGCCCCCGCTGTCCCCCAGACACCTGGTTGGTGCTCAGCCTTGGTCCCGCCTTCCCGCTTCTTTTCATCTATGAAGTTTAGTTTCATTCATTCAGAGCAAACTGCAAGTTTGACTTGTAATGTGCAATAGAAATATTTACGAAAATTTCTACCTAAATCCCTTTAATGTTTAATAAATGAAGTGATATTTCAAGTCACCCAGCCGGTTCAGCATTTATTTGAAAGGATTCTATAGTGAAACCTCTGTCAGCAGCAGAGTTATCTTTTCATGAACATAGTCGCCTTCCGGTTTCTCAGTTGTTTTATTCCGGCTTTTCCTTAGATGAAATTTAAAGTCTTCCTTTCAGGAGAAGAAATTATTTCACATAGATGTTAATTTTCTTAAATAGTTGGATATCGCAAAGACACTATGGCCTGTGCTCACTTTAGACACACATGGGAGAAATTTAAGCTACTATGTCAGGTAAAATTCTTGGAATCATCTCACTCTGGAAAATCATGTTTTTTGTTGGCATTAGGTAGATAAATAGGTGTCTTTCTGTCCTGGCTCTTTGCATGTCAGAATCTCATCCTAAGGAATTTTAGTTCTTATAATTTTGTCTTTTGTTTTTAAAAGCATTTTAAGAAGCAGAAGAGGCTGATTCCGGAAAGGACCGTGTGGAAGTACTTTGTCCAGCTGTGCAGCGCCCTGGAGCACATGCACTCCCGCCGGGTCATGCACCGAGGTGAGGGCGCCCGCGGGGTCCCCGTTTCATCCGGGGGAAGTGCCTCCCGGCCACCGCGGAGCCGATGGCGTCCTGGGACTGTGCCCTTGCGGCAGAGCCCTGAGTGGTCTCTGTGGAGTGAGAATGAGTTCTTCTTCTGCTCGACTGTGAGCATTTACTGAGTTAGGTGGGAAAGAAACAGCAGGCGCAGGAAAGCACAGGAAGGGGTCATCTCCCCGCCCCATCCCCATGTAACTGTATATCATGGCTACGCAGATTTTTAATTTTCCGCATTAGCTCTTAATATATTCTTGGTTATTAGTCAGATGGTTGGGCATAATGTGAAGGTCACTCACTAAGGACTCGACCCCGTGATTTGGGGCATGAAAAATTTCATTGATACTTATTTAGGCAACTAAGATTTCTCAGGACTTCTACATAATTATATGCATAGTATTATGACTTTATATTTTATGTAAATATATCAATAAACTAATATTTAGTAAGATATTTTATTTAAAATTGATGTAAAAGGGATTCAAATTTATTTTTTGCTTTATATTAAAGGAGTTTATTTGAAAATGGGAAAATATGTTTTAAATGAAAATTAATTGTGCTCTTTAACACTCTGCCTTAATGATTGTCTCTCAGAGGACTGAGAACTCAGAAATATTAGGCTACATAAAAATTACTCAGAATAAAGTAATTGGCTCAAAATTCAAACAGTTTTTTTTAGGATACACTTTAAATTCAACCATGAAAAGTGGTTTAACCCTTGAAAATAGCTACAATGGCTCATCTTTCCATGATGCCTCCATTTGTTTGCAGATATCAAACCAGCCAACGTGTTCATCACGGCCACGGGGGTGGTCAAGCTTGGGGACCTGGGCCTCGGCCGCTTCTTCAGCTCCAAAACCACAGCTGCGCACTCTCTAGGTGAGCGACACGGCCTGATTTCACGCAGGTACCTCCCCCCTTCCCGGGCTTAGACGTCCGAGGCTGTGCCGACTACCTGCCAGCCCTTATATTTTAATCAGACTGTTAAAAGCTCATCAGGTTCTGGCAGAGACACCTCCAGCTCCATTCATCAGGCTGGCACTTGGTAAAGGAAAATTAGTGAACAAACCTAGTTTTAACTGTCACCATGGAACCCTCCTTTTATTTTACATTTAATAACATTAAAAGAAGGATCAGGAAGAATTCTGTGCTAACTAAGAATATGTGTGAACTAAGGGGGGAAATCCCGGCACAGACTTGTGTGTGTTGACAAGTTGACCCTGATTTTTACTTTGAAAGATTCAGGAGCCTCATACGTTATTGTTGCATATTTTACGAGCAAATTTAGACGACTGCTTTTAAGGGTTGGATCCAAAAACCAGTTGAAAATGTGGCCACCTATAGGAGTGAATTTTGCTTATGGAAAATGTGACAGGATTGTAGGTTTTGTCCACGTCTCTCTGTCTGAGTGTGAGGAGCAGCCTGATGTTCTGGGGAGAGCAGAGGCCACCCATGTGCCCTGTTCTGTAGAGCCCGGGTCGGGCCATCAGCGACTTTTTTTCTTGACAAGTCTGCTAAAGGTTTATCAATTTTGCTTTTTTCAGAGAACCAGGTCTTAATTTCATTGATTTTTTTTTTTTTTCCATTTAGTTATTTCTTCTGTGATCCTTACACTTTCCTTTCTCCTGCTCACTGTGGGCTTAGTTCAGTCTCCTTTTCCTGGTTCCTGTAGATGTGCAGCTAGCGTGTGTGGTTGAGACTTTTGTCTCCTGAGGTATTGCTATGAACGTCCCTCTTAGGACTGCTTTTGCTGCATACCACAGACTTTGAATGTTGTGCTTTTACTCAGCTCAGGATATATTTTGATTTTCCTTTTGGTATTTTTGTTGACCCATTGGCTGTTTATAGCATATTGCTTAGTCTCTGTGTGTTTGTGTTATTTCCAGTTTTCTTCTTGTAATTGGTTTCTGTTTTTATACCATTTTGGTTGGTAGAGATGTTTGACATGATTTCTGTCTTTTTGAATTTACTGAGACCTGTCCTGTGTCCTGCCGTGTGGTCTGTCCTGGGGACCGTTCCGTGTGCCCTTGAGACGACGGCACATTCTGATGCTTCGGGTGGAGCATTTCCACAGATCAGTTCTTCCGTCCCTCCTCGGCCCCCCCCGCCAGCAGGGGCTCCCCAGGCCGGCGCCTGTGCCCGGGGTTTGGGGTGCTCCCCGTGGGCGCTCCCCGCGGCCCTGCCCCTGCCTCGCTGCGAGCCGCCTGCCGGGGGTCAC